GTTCATTCTGTCGATTTAGTTAAGGACCCATGACAGTATTCAATACGAAAGAAGTTGAAGTAGAATTTGAATGATGATGATGATGAATTTGCTGCACAGTAGAAATGATGATGATGAAGCTGATGATGACTTCTACTGTGCAGCCGATAATTGTATTTTACGTCTCTTCAGACGGCGCTGCCCTTTCTATTGCTATTTTACGATTGTTTTGTTGTTCCTAGACCAAGAAATAATATTTATTATTAATTTTTTAATGGGGTTAATGAAAAATCTTAGGTGTTCATATATCGTGATTTTTCTAGAATTTTCCAGAAACTCCGTGATATATTTTCCATATATATATATATATTTTAAACATCTGCGAAGTCGTAAATCCGCGATAGTAGAACCGCGAATTAGCGAGGGATCACTGTAATGCCCATATCGTCACAGACGTGCTTGTTAATGCGCAGGCCATAATTTACAAAAAGTTTAAACAGACTGAGGCTCACATTTCGTCCTTGTTGTATTCTTGATGAGGTTTGAAATGTTTCCGTGTTGAGGTCCTCGCAAGAGTTTGTAGATTGATACAGCTTCTCTATTAGGTCAATACTTTCAGTGGATTAGGAGCGTGGAAGGCGGTTTTTAATAGACGAGAAGAGTAAGTCTCATTAGCTGACATCACTCGGATCTTACAGCCATCGACAACAATGTCGGAAGCCACCAATCTTTCTGACTGATGTACGATACTGTTTATAACAATATCTGGTAGCTTGGGAATTTCAAATCCAACTGTATGTCATTTTTTCCCTTGTGATCAATTCAAAATAAGTTGAATCCAAACTGACAAATGGATTTTCAACTAAGTCAACACACCTCTTGCATACAGACAACATCGACATGGTGTAATGGTGAACAAACTTGCTTCGCCCTATCAGTTACGATTGAGCTTTTCTTTCTTCTTTTTAGGCGCCGTGTCCCTTCAGGACGTAGACGATCATGGATCTTTACTTCCCCTTATCCCTTGTATCTCTCAATAAGATTTGTCCCTTTGCTACTTCCCGCAAGTCTTGTTCTGTTATCCTTTTGCATATGCCCTATAGATATATCATGCGTTGCTTTCCCGTGAGTATCAGATTCTCCAAGCCCTCCTTTCTCATTACGTGTCCTAGAAATTTCAGCTGCCTCTTCCTGATGTAACCTTCCTGATTGTTTGCATCCTCTCCAAAACATCATCGTTGCTCACACGCTCGGTCCATGATATCCTCAGCATCCTTCTGTAGAGCCATACCTTCGCCGCCTCGAGTGTTTTCTTCATCTTTGAGGAGACCGTCCAACATTCACTGCCGTAAAGGAGGACAGAGATCACGTAGCAGTTCAGTACTCTTTTTCTTTGTTACCAAAGAATTCTTCCTGTTTCGTAATACTCGGCCTAGATTTTGGAATGCGTCTTTGGCCATTCCAATACGTCTTTGGATCTCAGCGTCGCACTTACTGTTCTCTGTCAAAACTGTATTTTAAATATTTATAATTTATTTATATTTAAATTTCCGCACCTGCTTGATTTTAGTGACCCCGATCCTTATTATTGCATGAAGCTTTCCACCTTGTGTCTCATCTAAGTTAACCTTATTACTACTATCGCTTTGTATCCGAGAAATTTTAGCTGTCGCTTTTCGATCTATAGTACAAATGGTCTTTTATCTCTCCATATAAAGCAGATGCTGTATGTCTATTTGTCTGTGTGATACGTTGTCACTCGAGACCCACCCAACCGATTTTGATTAAACTTGGCTTATACATTGTACCATGTAAAAGATAGGTTCTTAGCGTAAAAAAGCAATAATTAAAAAAATGTCAATAATCGATAAAGCTGATCAAAAATCGATAAATTCAGCTTTTTTTATTCCGATTTCGTACAAACTCGGTATGTAGGTTACGTACGTTGACGAGCTCAACGATACGCCATTTTTATTTCGACGCGTTTAGCGAAAAAATGGGAATAAAGAAAAATCGATTTCAACACAAATTAAAAGCTATTAAAAAATAATAGTTAGTTTCTTTGGTTATAAATGGAATGCACGGTCTATAACACTTGTCAAAAAACAAAAAAAAACAAAAAACAAAACTTAATTTGAAATGGTGTCTAGACACCATACATCTTTTTAGCTAATCTGAGGGCGCTGAATCTGAAAATGACCTCACTTTTCCTTGGTTAGCTACCGTTTTTGCTGTACAAAAATGCCTCATTTTTTGAAAAAAAATCTTTATTTGTTTTCTGTATACATTATATTGACTGATGGCAATATTCTTCAAAATAAAATCGTAGAATCGTCACAATTCTTAGGGACCAATCATCGTGACTGGTGCTTAACGTCTGTTGTTGAGTATTTGATTCTCGTGTCATCTCCCATCCCTGTGAAAAAAACAGTAATAACCATACGTAGCGCATTTATTGCAAGGTTATATTTAAAATTTCATAGAACAAATTTTTAAAATAGCCTTGTGTGACCACAATAGACGGAGAACATGTGTCATGGCGTATATTTGTTTTTTAAATATGCAATGAAGAATGGTAGATTGGAAACTGTAATTACTTTTATTAAAGCCTTTGACATTTCATAACATTTGATAACCCTTTTTTAAAGCTGATCGTTTTGTGTTCATTTTGTTTAGTTCTTTTTTCGTAACAGATTTAATGTTTAGTATAGAGCTTAGAAAAAATTCGCAAAAATGTTAGATAGGCAAGAAGTAAGGCATGTAGCAACATCAGCACTGCAAAGGGCACTTCTTTAAAGGCAAGGAAAGACAAAAATATTTTAAGTCAAGTGATAGCGATTGCTGTATGAGTCGTACGATTTTTGAATCAAGCACGGGCAACGCAAGGCCATGCCGCTAGTTAAGTATTAAATGTAAACGGATTTACAATCGCTCTGAATACACAGAAACAAAATTGTGCATAATATAGATTGTATAAATGCCACCCTAATTAGACAAGGACATAATTCTTTACGCAGGAAATATTTCTAAGGACTTCTGATAAATATTTCAACAACGATAAACACACGTCAAACATACTTTATTATATCACCAACGATTACAAAATACGTGCTTAAAGAATCTAGGATATATCTACCGTATTCCACAACCAATGTAACGGAATTTTTTTGACTCTCACACAAAACATGTGAACAACTACCAGAAATGTATAAAAATATTTACTACACATACACACACATGAATATTATCATTCGAATCCTGCATAGATAAATTAGAATTCTGATACGTATGCATACATGAATTATACACAAGAACGCTGCTTGACAAGACAGATGGACGTGAGGTTTGCTTAAAGTATGAAAAGTAAATACAAACAAATTAAAAACAATTGAATAAAGGAATTTTATTTTTTTCCTCCATATTTCCTTCTCTGATGAAGTTTTAATGAAAGCGAAACGTGTCAGATTTATAAGCGTTCAATTCAATGAGAGACGATGTGTCCATTCGGAGTTTTCGGAACGCCACAAATAGAATTAACGTTTATTAAACAAGTCGAATGCAGGAGAAACCTGATTAACCAATGAAAAACAAACAACATAAAAGTAAAATAAACCTGAATTTCTTTCCTCTTTAACCCTATAACTCATTCTCTGGTGAAGCTTTAATAAAGGCGAAACATGTTAGATGAATAAACGATTTCTATTCGTTCGTTATCTTGTCATTTTGCCGGATTCCGATTCATATTTGATCGCAACTCATATACAGGGTGCGATAGGTAAACTTTTGCCGTTTGATATTTTTCATTTTGCGCATGCGCGTTGTTTGTTTTTTATTTTGTCGACATCACAATATAGTAAGGACAACTGGACCACATCTGGGAGAAAAAAAAAAGCACCATGATGCAATTCACTCTGCCAGAAAGTCGAGAACGGCAGGCTGTACTGCTTGGCATTCGGGCCGGAAACTCCAATAAGAGCATTTCAGAGTGTTTGGGTGTCTCAGTGCAGAGAATTAGGAAAGAGTTGGATGAGTCTAATTGTGATTACGAAGGTACGGCAACTCAGAAAACTCTGATCGTTCTGATGAAAAAAAAATAAACTCCCTAATTTGTTAGTGAGACCCAGGCCATGAATGAAAATGATACCTCCAAGACTAGCAGGCCCATAGCCAGAGAGGAAGTTCTGCCCTGGTCAAGTGGGTGGCTGCTTGAAGACCCTGTGTCTAGCAAAAGGACTCTGCAACATGTCACACAAGCAGAAGAACCCAATAATGGCTGTCAGACAATTTATGCAACCACCTCACACTTTACATCTGGCCACCTAACTCCCCAGACTGCACCCCCCGATTATTATGTGTATAGCGCAGTTGAGGGAGAGAACAACAAAACTCCTTGTAACACCAAAGATGAACTGAAGGCAAGGATTATGGCAACATTCACCAACTTAAACAAGGACTTCATTAAGATAATCTGAAGTTGTCCGGAGGCTGTGGTTGATGCCAATGACGATTTTATTAAACTCATTTACTCTTTAGTATTTCAAGATATTTTTGTAATTTTTGTAAATATATTTGTTAAAATGAGATGTCAGTGTTATTTTCATTTTTGCCTAATTTAGACGAAAATTTATCCATCACACCCTCTCTCTATATATATATATATATAAACACACATATATATATAATCTCTGTATTTGTGTGTATCCTTGTATTGGGAGAATCTAAGATTTGGTATATTTTTTATTTACTTCATGGAGTGGGATATTGAAAATAGTTTTTTCCTAAAACTTGTGTGAAAGAAAAACACGGACGTAATTATATGCAACAATGTGTTAATGGATGCAACTATTTAAATGAATGCCTCTCTGCACGGATATTATCTCGTATTTATACTTCTAAAATAAACATTTGATTTTGCCTAGGCAAATCGACTTAAATCCATAAAAAAATCTGAACATTTAAAAAGGAGCGTTTTTTTAATGGTCTTTCACTTTGCACGGATGGATTCAAGTCCATATGAAAATATGGAAAAATCCTTCTTTCGTCTCGTTCTTTCTGTATCTTGCGCCTTTCTACTTTGTGCTGAGTGCCCATGTTTCTTTATACATCTGTTGAGTGTCCCTGTTCCTATATACTTCCAGTTGAGTGGGCCTGTTCCTATATACGTCGTGTTGAGTGACCGTGTTCCTTTATACTTCGTGTTGAGTGTCACTTTTCCTTTATATTTCGTGTAGAGTGGCCTTGTTACTTTATACTTCGTGTTGAGTATCCCTGTTCCTATATACTTCGTGTTGAGTGGCGCCGTTCCTTTCTTTATACTTTGTGGCCCTGTTCGTTTATACTTCGTGTTAATTGGCCCTGTTCCTATATATTTCGTGTTGAGTGTCCTTGGTTCTATATACATCGTGTTGAGTGACTCTGTTCTTTTATACTTCGTGTTGAGTGGCCCTGTTCCTTTATATTTTGTGTTGAGTGGTCCTGATCTTTTATACTACGTGTTGAGTGTCTCAGTTCCTTTATACTTCGTGTTGAGTGGCGTCGTTCCTTAATACTTTGTTTGGAGTGTCCCTGTTTATTTATACTTTGTGTTGAATGTCCCTGTTCCTTTATACTACGTATTGAATGTCCCTGTTCCTTTATAGAGTGTAACCCGGATATAAGAGAGTTGTCGGGACCGGAGAAGAAGTCTCTTATATCCTGGTTTCTCTTATATCCGGGTTTGGTCTATTTTATATACATTAACACAGGTTCTAATTTGGGACCAGAGAAAATCTCTCTTATATCCGGGTTTCTCTTATATCCGGGTTACACTGTACTACGTGTTGAGTGTCTCAGTTCCTTTATACTTCGTGTTGAGTGGCGTCGTTCCTTAATACTTTGTGCTGAATGTCCCTGTTCCTTTATACTTCTTGTAGAGTGTCCTTGTTTCTTTATACTTTGAGTTGAGTGTCAGTGTTTCTTTTTTATTTTTCGGTGTTTTTTTAGTTTCTTTTATATTTTATTTAATTTATCTTGTACTTTTCATTTTCTTGCGTCTTTCAGATTCTTGTTTCTTGCTTCTTGTCTCTCTCTGTTCCAACTTAATTTCTAGAATTATTCTGCTCTTTCATATTCTTCTTGCTTCGGAGTTAAACATTTTATTAGATTCTTGCGTCATTCAAGTCCGGTTGTTTTCCACTCACTCTTACCTTTTTCTCTTTCTTGTTTCTGTCTGCTTTTTTATGTCTTTCGATTCCGTTTAAGTCGTCGTTATGTCTATTGTTTCATTCTGTTTCGTGCAGCTTCTTTGTATCTTTCGATTTTTTAAAATTTCTTCTTCATGTTTTTTCTTTGTTTCTCTTTCTTCCTGCTTCTTTGTATCTTTCGAATCTTTTTTTATTTCCTCTTAATGGTTTTTGTTTCTTTATGTTTCTTCTTGCTTCTTTCTGTCTTTTGATACGTCTTCCTTCCTCTTCAAGGTATTTTTCTTTCTCTTTGATCCTGCTTTTTTGTTTCTTTATGTTTCTACATGCTTCCTTGTGTCTTTCGATTCTTTTTATTTTTCTTCACGGTTTTTGTTTTTTTCTTCATGCTTTTTGCGTCTTTCATTCTTTTTTTTTTTTTTTTTTGTATCTTTCTGTCTTTTTCTTTTGTGTCTTTCGATTCTTTTTTTTCCACGGTTTTTGTATTTTTCTGTTTCTTCATGCTTCTTTGCGTCTTTCGATTCTTTTTTTTTCTTCACGGTTTTTGTATCTTTTTTGTTTCTTCCTGCTTTTGCTTTTTCGATTCTTTTTCTTTTCCCACGGTTTTTTTTTTCTTTTCTTCCTGTTTTTGCGTTTTTCGATTTCTTTTTGTTTTTTCCACGGTTTTTCTTTGTTTCTTTCGATTCTTTTTTTTTCGATTTTTTTTTTTTTCCACGGTTTTTGTATCTTTCGTTTCTTTGTGTCGTTTTTTTAATTCTTTTTTTATTTTTCTCCACGGTTTTTGTATCTTTTTGTTTCTTCCTGCTTCTTTGTGTCTTTCGATTCTTTTTATTTTTCTTCACGGTTTTTGTATCTTTCTGTTTCTTCCTGCTTCTTTGCGTCTTTCGATTCTTTTTATTTTTCTCCACGGTTTTTGTATCTTTCTGTTTCTTCCTGCTTCTTTGCGTTTTTCGATTCTTTTTATTTTTCTCCACGGTTTTTGTATCTTTCTGTTTCTTCCTTTTTTTTTTTCGATTTTTTTTTATTTTTTCTCCACGGTTTTTGTATCTTTCTGTTTCTTCCTGCTTTTTGCGTTTTTCGATTCTTTTTATTTTTCTCCACGGTTTTTGTATCTTTCTGTTTCTTCCTTTCTGTGTCTTTCGATTTTTTTTTTTTTTCACGGTTTTTTGTATCTTTTTTTCTTCTTTCTTTGCGTCTTATTCTTTTATTTTTTCTTTTGGTTTTTGTATTTTTTGTTTCTTCCTGCTTTTTGCGTTTTTCGATTTTTTTATTTTCTCCTTTTCGTATCTTTATTCTTTTTTTTGATTCTTTTATTTTCTTTTTGTTTCTTTTGCGTTTCGTTTTCGATTCTTTTTATTTTCTCCATGGTTTTTTGTTTTTTCTGTTTTTCCTGTTTTTAGTTTTTCTTTTACTTTTCTGGTTTTAGTTTCTTCCTGCTTCTTTGTGTCTTTCGATTCTTTTATTTTTTCCATGGTTTTGTATCTTTCTGTTTCTTCCGCATTAGGTGCGTTTTTGATTTTTTATTTTTTTTCAATGGAGTTGTTTTTTTAAGGCTTCTTTCTGTTTCTTTTTGCCTTTTTGTTTTCGTTATGACTTTTGTTTCTTCTTCTTCCTGTTTTTATTCTTTGAATTTCTTTTTATCCATTCATTTGTTTCTTTGTGTCCTCCATTCATTCTTTTACTTCTATTGGTTTCTTCTTCCTATCTTTCTATCTTTCGATTGTATCTTCTTCGTTATCCATTATGTCTTCTTCTCTTTTTTCTTTGTTTCATCTCTTTTTGTTTCATATCTATGTTGCTATCTATCTATCTATCTATCTATCTATCTATCTATCTATCTCAGTCTATTCGTATCTATATTAGCCTGTTCATTCTATCTCATTTGTCTGCATCTATCTATCTATCTATCTATCTATCTATCCACATCTATCTATCTCATTTCCATCTATCTATCTATCTATCTATCTATCCTCTATCTATCTATCTCAGTCTATCTGCATCTATATATGTTCATCTATCTATCTATCTCATTTGGGCTATCCATATCTCATTCATCTATCTATCAATCATTCCATTCTATCTATCATCTATCATCTATCATCTATCTATCTCATCTCTCAGTCTATTCGTATCTATATTAGCCTATTCATTGTC